GAAAACTTCAGATGTCATCTTTAAAAATGTGACTTATCTCCTTTGAAAGATGATCTCTCATTGGCCTGGAGCTCACCAATCCAGCTAGATTGGCTTGCAATCAAGCTCCAGTCTATCTCTGTCTCCTCAGGACTGAGATTATAGACATTGTATCACCACACCCAACATTATTACATGAGTGTTAGGGATCAAACTCAGGTCCTCCTGTTTATATGGCAAGAACTTTAGTGAGTGAACTGGCTCCCTAGCCCCTTCCTTTACCATGTGTTTTCAAATAAACATCTCTGTATCTACAAATATCCTTTATGGAATTTGACAGGAATTTTGTGATCTTAGACATCAGTTTGGATGAATAAACATCTTTTCATTTATTTTGAGATAGGATCTCTCTGTGTACCACAAACTGGCCTTGAATGTCTAATCCTATCACTACTTCTATAGTGCTGGGATTACAGGCGAACACCACCACACCCAGCTGAGACTGTGTCTTTGAATCTACCAACACAGTACACCTCTTTATTGTTTCAACTCTTGTTGGGTTCTCTTAATAGTATTTATAGGTTTCAGGACAATATATTAGAGTTATAGCTATTTAATTTAAGTTTATATGTAGTATTAATTTTAAATTTGGCTTTAAATTTGTTTTCTACTATAAAGAAACGAGATTTTTTTAAAAAAATATTGATCTCATATCTGAGGATTAAAGTGCTTGTTACTAAAACACTTCTGATCCCCCATACCTGTGTAAAAGTTGGGCACATGGCACAAGTCTGTAAACCCAGCACTGTGACAGCAGATACTGGAAGATCCTAGAGGCCTATTGGCCTAAAGCCTAGTTGAAATGATGAGCTTCAGGTTCAGTAAGATGCCCTTTTTTAAAACATAATGTTGAGGGATGGAAGAGATGGCTCATAAATTAATGGTTGTGCTTACAGAGCATCAGGGTTCAATGCCTAGCACCCACATGGCAGCTCACAACCATCTATAACTCCAGTCCTAGGGGATACATTACCCTCTTTTGGCTGCTGCAAACACTAGGCATGCATATGGCACACTGACATACATACAGGCCAAACACTCATAGACATGTAAACAAGTAAATTTAAAAGGTGGAGAGTGATAGAAGTAGAGATCCAGTGTCAAGTTCTGGCATCTAGAACATGTGTGTTTACAGCTGGGCACTCATGTTACACACAGATGCACACACACACACACACACACACACACATACACACACACTGATCTTTTATTTTGAAGCCTTGTTGAATTCACTTATTTTACTGTTTATAATTCATAGTATTTATTTTTTCTTTAACTTTTTTATTGACTTCACATCATGCACTCCAGTCCTACTCATTATGCACCCCAATATCACTCATCTGGTGACAAAACAAGAACACCCCCCCCCCCCCCGCGTGCTGCTGCTTACATACAGTGGCTCACGCAATGTGTTCATAAGAAAGAAGAAACACTTTCAGATGCAATAGTAAACAGCCAGGCATGTTACTGCTCCTGCTGCTGCTGCTGCTTTTTCTTCCTCCTCTTTTTCTTTGATTGAATGGCTGGTTATTATCAGCATTTTTGTTTGTTTCTTTTGCACATATGAGCCAGTACCCAGTGAATAATGGATGGTTACATGTCTTTTACTGAAAGGTGCAGTTTGAATCCCAGCTCCTCCCCCATCTACCCAGCATACCTCAGAAAGCTCTTTTCTTTTGCCAGCCCCTTTTAGTAAAAATAGATTCTTTACTTATACAATATATCCTGAATATAATTTCCCATCCTTCTCCTCTTCCCACTTTCTCCTCCTCTACCCCCTCCAGACTCACTCTTTTTGTCCCTTATTAGAAAAGAACACAACAAAATAAAACATAATAAGATAAATAAGAGGAAAAATCCATCACATCAAAGTTGAACAAGAGAAAGAAAAAAAAAGGACCAGATATCAACTTGTTCACACACTCAGATTCCCACAAAAATACTAAACTGTATTATATAATATATACACAGAGGACCTAGTGCAGACCTATGCAGGCCCTGTGCATGCTTCTTTAGTCTCTGTGAGTTCTCATAAGCTTTGCTTATGTTGATTTAGAGGGCCTTGTTCTCCTGGTGTCCTCCATGATCTCTGGCTCTTAACACTCTTTTCTCCTCATCCACAGGATTTTCTGGGCCTTCAGGGGAGGGATTTGAACACATTTAAAGCTGTGTTCCAAGGTCTCTCTCTCTCTCTCTCTCTCTCTCTCTCTCTCTCTGTGTGTGTGTGTGTGTGTGTGTGTGTGTGTGTGTGGTATTGTCTGGCAATGGGTATCTGTATTTGTTCCCATCTGTTGCAGGAGGAAGCTTCTCAGATGTTGGCTGAATAAGGAAGGTACTAATATACACAACTATAGCACATTATAGCACAGTATCACTAGGCATCACTTCATCATTACTTTTTTTTTTTTCTTTAAAGCAAGTAGGTTTTACCCTAGGTGTCTGGGCTGTTGAATCTCTGGTCATTAGCTCTCTATCAGAGGTGTAGTTGGTAAAAAATCTTTACCCATTCTGTAGGCTGCTGCTTTTTGTCTGAAAGACAGTGTCCTTTGCCTTACAGAAGCTTTTCAGTTTCAAGAGGTCCCATTTATTAATTATTGATCTTAGGGCCTGAGTTGTCTGTGTTCTGTTCAGAAAGTCGTCTCCTGTGCCAATTAATTCAAGACTATTCCACACTTTCTCTTCTACAGCTTCATTGAATCTGATTTTATATTGAGGTCTTTGATCTACTTGGACTTGAGTTTTGTGCATGGTATAGATAATGGATTTATTTGCATTCCTCTACATACAGACACCCAGTTTGAATGACACCATTTGTTGAAGATGATGTCTTTTTTTCAGTATGCATTTCTGGCTGCTTTATCAAAATTCCAGTGTCCATAGGTCAGTGTATTTATATCTGGGTCTTCAATTCACATTAATCAATGTGTTTGTTTTGTGCCAATACTATGTGGTTTTTATGATTATAGCTTCAAAGTACAACTTGAAATCAGGAATAGTGAGACCTTTCACAGTTCTTATATTGTTCAGGATTGTTTTAACTATCCTGGGTTTGTGTGTGTGTGTGTGTGTGTGTGTGTGTGTGTGTGTGTTTCCATACGAGACTAAAAACTGTCCTTTAAATTCCTTTCTGTGAAGGATTGTATTGGACTTTTGATGGGAACCACATTGAATCTGTAGATTGCTTTTGGTAGAATGGCAGTGTTTACTATGTTACTTCTATCTATCCATAAGCATAGGAGATCTTTTCCATCTTTTGATATCTTCTTCAATTTCTTTCCCCAATGATTTGAAGTTTTATCATAAAATATTTGACCTACTTCATTAGATATTTTATATTATTTGTGGCTATTGTGAAGGGTGTTGTTTCTCTGATTTCTTTCTCAGTCTGTTTATCATTTGTGTATATGAGGGTTATATCATTGATCATTATATATAAGAAGGCTATTGATTTTTGTGAGTTAATTTTATATGTAACTACTTTGCTGAAAGTGTAGGAATATCAGGTGAAGGATGGATCTTGTTTTCACCTCCTTTTATTAGTTTGTGTCTTTTTAGGTTGGAGTTTTCCTTCTAGGAGTTTCTGTAGGGCTGTATCTGTAGATAGATATTGCTTAAATTTGGTTTTATCATGGAATGTCATATTTTCTTCATGTATAGTGATTGAAAATTTTGCTGCATATAGTAGTCTGGCTCGCATCTCTGGTTTTTTAGAGGCACGTTTCATCAGGCCCTTCTGACTTTTAGAGCCTCCATTAAGAAGTCAGGTGTAATTAAAATAGGTCTGCCTTTATGTTACTTGGTCTTTTTCCATTGGACCTTTTAATATTCTTTCTTTGCTCTGTACATTTAGGGTTCTGATTATAATGTGCTGAGGGGACTTTCTTTTCTGGTCTAATTTATTTGGTGGTCTGTATGCTTCTTGTACCTTGATAGACATCGCCTTCTTTAAGTTACATAATTTTTCTTCTAAGATTTCTGTTGAAAATATTTCCTATGCATTTGGCCCATGTTTCTTCTCTTTCCTCTGTTTCTACTATTCTTAAATTTGTTCTTTTCATAGTTTCCAAGATTTCCTGGATGTTTTGTGGCAGAAGTTTTAGATTTAACACTTTCTCTGACTGATGTATCATTTTATTTCTAATTGTGTCTTCAATGCCTGCGATTCTCTCTTCTGTATTGTTGGTGAAGCTTGCATGTGTGGTTCCTGTTTGAGTTCATAAGTTTTTCATTTCCAGGTTTCCCAAAGTTTGGGTTTCCTGTATTGGTTCTAGTTCCACTTTCATATTTTGAACTGTTTTGTTCATTTCCTTCCACAAAGAGTCCACAGCAGAAGGTGTGCTGCAGAACTGGGGAGGAGACTGGGGTGTTGTACTTGCAGGAAATGAGAGAGAACACCTGCAGCTTCCCTGCTTCCCTGGCAGGAGTGGCCTGTGGGTTCCCAGGGAGTGCCTGCTGACGTTGGGGGCTAGGATAAAGCAATGAGCTGGAAAAAGGAGGTAATGTGGAGCAGGGGAATCTGCTGTATCCACTGGAGGTAGGACCATGTAGGGAAGGAAGGCTGAAGCAGGGATTATACTTCGGAGTTGGGGATTGAACTGGGGGGGGGTGGATTTGGACAAGCAGAGGGAGAGGTAAAGATTCGCAGTTAGCCTACCTGTTTCCCTGGCCAGAGTGCTAGAAATCTCTTTTCAATAGGCATCCCACTTTGGTAGCTGTATCAAGCACAGCAATATTGGCAGAGGGGCCTATATTATCTTCTTCTCTTCACCCACTGAACACCTCAACTCACATTTTCTCCTTGTCTGTTTTCTCAAACCAGAAATAACAGGTACTGATTTGATATGCATTTTCAATGCTCGGTAATATAGCTTGGATAAAGAAAACTATAGTTTACATCACCAGAGTTCAACAGACTGTGGATTTCTATGAAGGTCAGACATACTTTGTTCTTTTCCTTCCAGGTCAGTGGCCATAAACAGGTGAGCTCAGCATGCTGTATCAACACTGGAGGGGCTGCACGTGGAAGCAATCTACCACACTGCCAGAGACTGGGAATGATTTGGTACCAACTGCTGTGCAAATCTACTGGTCAGGAACATCACAAGCTGTTAAGTAATGACAGACACATTGGCTGAGATGAAATTCCCAGAAAGGAAGTGACAATGCAATGTGGATATTTATGGCCATAAAATAAGAAAAGCTTTAACTTCCCAGGCTGAACTTGGCTCTGCCTTAGGCATTTCAACAAGGCATCATCACAACAAAGAAAGAGATGTAATCTGGTTCTATTTCATATCAGCAGATGTCTGGACAAAACCATCAGTGTGAATAAGGGCCAACTGCAGCTATGTCTATCTTGATTAAATTACTTCATATTAAATAAAAAATCTGGGTGGTATTGTTTCCAAAAAGACTCATCTAGCTTTCCTTCTAATAGCCCTCTTCCTGTAGAACCATTTTTAAACAGTTTTCTCTGGTGGTAGGAGAGTTGTAATAAATTGAAACTTTTTTTTGCTTTCAAATTGTTCTATCTAGTGGTTTTGTAACTGTGCAGTTAAATGACTATAGTGTCATGCTGATGACAGGATTTTTTTAAAAAAAATTTTGGATAAGCAGATTTTGGTAAGTGCATTCAACTGCATGAATTCAATAAAGATAGTCTATATAAAAGATAGTCTATGAAAACAATGAAGAAAACTGTATATAAGGTTCAAGAATTTTCTTTTTAAGTTGTATTTTACATGTGTTAGAGTTTTGTAAGCATGTATATCTGTGTACCATGTGCATGCCTGGATCCCATGGAGGCCAGAAAAGGGAGTCAGATCCCTTGGAACTGCAGTTTTAAATGGTTGTAAGCTGCCATGTGGGTGCTGGGAATCAAATCTCAGTCCTCTGGAAGAGAAGCCAGTCCTCTTAACTACTGAGCCATCTCTTCACTGCTTGAATTCAAAAATTTTAGCAGTCATCCGGTAAGAAACTATTAAGATACAATGTCAAGTTTACACCCTTCAGATTCATGTTACCAACTCCTGGTGATGCACTCTAGGGTTCTGCACTCATAGCCCATGAGACTCTTAGGAGCAGTAGGAATCCTAGGCTGAGGCCGAGTTTAAACCATTTCTTTTAGCTCTAAAGATCTCAAAAATATGTTACCATTGATTTTACATACCCCAGTGTCAACCCTGCCTGTGCAGCTGAAGCTGCTCTCTGGCTTGTTCCTGCCGGTGTTAGGCTACAGGTGTATACCAGTATTTCCAGATGACACCCTATTCCTTTTTTTTCCTAAAGCTTTATGTGTATATGAGTTTGACTGTATCAGTTTATATAAGCACACCACATTCATGCAGTACTGGAAGAAGCCAGAAGAGGGCATTGAAGCCCCTGGAACCAGGGTTACAGGTGGCTATAAGTTGGTCTATGTGGGTGCTAGGAACTGCTTCCTGATCTGGAAGATCAGTAAGTGCTCTTAACCACTGAGCCAGCTCTCTAATTACGATGATACCCTGTTCCAAAGCTGAAATTTTGAAAGTACCCAACCAGGGATTGGCAAGGGTTTTCTTAGTAAAAGGTCATCCAACAATAAACAGTTCAGGGTTTATGTGCCACAGAATCTGTATCACCACTTGTCAGCCCCATGACTGTAGCATAAAGCAACTCCAGATAGCATGCTAAGCAATTAGTGTAATGTATGCCAATAAAAATTCATTTACAAACACAGGCTGTGGGCTGCATTTGCTTAGGGTCCAAGTATATCTTGCCAACTATATTTTGAATGAGTTCCCCAGAGAGAAGTAGTTCCAAAAATGAAGTAACTTCTCAGTGAGAAGAAGAAACAAACATGATGGAAATAAGATCACATTGTATACACATACCAGAGGGGACTCTGAAAACACAAAACAACATTAGCTCAGCCAGTTACTCTTTTTATTTTGAATTTTGTAAAAAAAAAAAAAAAAAAAAAAAAAAAAGCTTAAAGAAAAACATGTTAAATATCAGTAAAGGACAGGAAAACACAAGGCTAGCTTTATCATAGAAATCTACACAGCTACATAAAGGCAACCATTGAGTGAAAGGAGAGTGGTGGAAAGCACAGAACACACTGCAAGGTTCCTGCTGCAAGTGTACATAAAGGCTGCAGGTAATTCCAGTTCTTCAATTTTCAGTTAAAACATACTTTGATATCATTTTCTATAAAATACTCCCCAAATATACTATGTCAGCTCTCTATAAAAAGGCCTGCAAGTAGAGTTATCACAGACAGCCCCCAGATGCCCATGCAGGTAACTAACTATCCAGGAACACCAGGATGGTCACTTTCTGAAAGTGCTTTCAATAACAAACCTTCAGTGCTTCATGCTAGTCACTGCTTTCTTTTTGGTTTCAGTTTCTTCAGCATATACAGGCCCAGGCAAATTTCCACTGGGCAAGAGTTGAAGGTAGACTGGGACATGTAGGGATTCTTTTGTGTCCTTCTAATGGTGCTGTAGGAAGAAGATGCCTTGTGCTGTATCCCCTCATATTCACTTCAGGCCTTCTCAAAAAGCAACACAGCAGACAGACCCTCCTTGTAATGCTCCCCAGGGCTTGGGTGGCTAAAACCTGGCTGCTCATGTTTTCCAAATGTGTCATGGTTATAGCATACCCTGCTTAAGAAAAAAAAATGAACATAAGAAAGTTTACTTTTGCGCTTTACAATTTGGTGAGAAGATGTATCTGCTAATCTGACAACTGTCTATGAAAACTGCAAGTGGGAAACAGGTTTTTAGGTCCTGTTTTAAAAGAACTGTCAAAGAGAGGGTGGAGGAAGGGAGGGATTGGGATGGGAAGAGGGAAGGAACCACAGGGGGGATACAAGGTGAAATTAATAAAGAATTAAAAAATGAAATAAGTTAATCCCAGAAAAAAACAAAACAAAACAAAAAAAGAATTGTCAAAGAATGATTTTATGATTTGACATTAGCACACTCATTCTTATGATACTTCTCTGAACTGTTCAAAGTAGGTTTTAAAACTGGGGGGCAGAGGTGAAGCATTTTAGGTATCCAAGAGGGAAAGGCAGCATTCAGATGTGTTGTTTCTAGAATAAACTCTTGGCAACTAGATTCATTCAACTTACTGCATCAGAACACAGTAGCTGATGCTAGAAAGCCAGACTCTCACTTAAAAACAACAAAGCTCGAACTCAACACACAGGGCCTGTTCCAACTGAAGAGTCAACATCAAAAGGCAGCTGTGACACTGTCGAGTGTCCAAGTGCTCATCTATATCTGTCAGCTCAGCAAGCTGCTACCACAGCAGCCCTCCCTGCAGATGACAGTTTAGATAGATGGTACTGTCAGCTCCTGGCTACTTTTAGTTCTCTTAAAACTCATACTGGGAACAAGACAGGTACAAGAGGCTGGTCTGCACCTCTGGTGAGTTGCTCAGCTGTCTTGTGATCTCAGTGGTGTTCCTGCATCTGGGAACCAATGGCTCACATGCAATGTATGACATAATTACATTCACTTCTACTGGACACAGGGCAAGGGAGAGGTTGGGAAGGAGCATTGTAAAGCAGACCTTTGCCATTGGATGGAACTGCTCACATACAGCTACCTTTTCTTTTCTTTTTTCCTCCAAAGAAATCTTATTTGTATATGAAACCACAAGCGGTCTAGGAGCTCCAACCCAGGGTGTTCCTTGCTGTTGCTTGATGAGACATTTGATACAGTGTGATTTGTTTGGCTCCAGGCATCATGGTCACTCTAGGAAGTGCCCCGGATGATGGGACTAGGTATGCTCTTTCTATGGTGTAGCTAGGAAGAAACACTCAACCTTTAAGTGCCAGAATTCCTTCTGTAGGAAAGCTTAGGCTTTCCAGGTAGTTCCCACAGAAGCATTATGAAAAAGAATGAGTGAGTTTTTTTATGTTCTCTCTCTCAGAGCTATACCACTGCCAATATGTGACAATAGAATGACCATCCCCATCCCCAGGTTGCTGGCAGTAAATGGGGCCACCTTTACTCTGTGGAATAAGACATGGGGACTAACAAGACAAGAGCTTGATCACAAAAAGGGACTACTAATTTAATTCCATATTGAATTGAAATGACAACTTCCAAGAATCCTTTGTGTTTGACCACTCAGCAGCACAAAGACCAAACCTCCCTTCCCCTTGGAATCAAACTTGGAATGAAGATGACAAGTTTGAAACTCCTCTTTGCAAATCTCAAGTTACTCTTCTCTCTCCAAGTCTCTTTATTTTCATATGGAACACAACCTTGAATTCTTCAAAATGAGCACAAAAGTTTTATAGTGGCCTAGTCTGCATTAGCAATCTTTTTTTTTTTTTTGTCACTAACAATTACAAATAAATGAACACTTAACTTAGTAGGCCATTCCTTTAACTAAGCTTCCAAACAGGGTTCCTTGGATGCTTTATTGAAAAGTCTGTCTCCCCTTCTGCACAGGAGGAATCATGGACGTTCCCAAGCAAACCATACATGCCAGGCCCCATCCTGGAATCCAAATCTCGAGGGTGCTATACACTTTCACTGGCATTTTTATTTTAGTGCTTGGAATAGAACCCAGAGCCTTGACATGCTAGAAAGTGCTCTATAGCTTAGCCAAATCCTTTAGCTTGGAATTTTAAACTGGCCAGACAAAATTAATATGCAGTCTGAGTTCAGATGCCTGATCTAGAATATTCCATTCTGAATGATGAAGATGTAATCTTGTGACAAGACTATGAACATTCAAGAAACTCAAGAAGATGGAGTTACAGATTCATCTGGTGGGAGTGCAAACTTGTACAACCATTTTGGAAATCAATTTGGTGGTTTCTTAGAAAACTGGGAATAGCTCTACCTCAAGACCCAGCTATATAACTTCTGGGTATATACCCAAAGGATGCTCACCATACTGCAACAACATTTGCTCAACCATGTTCACAGCAGCTTTATTCATAATAGCCAGAAACTGGAAACAACCTAGATGTCCCTCAACTGAGGAATGAATACAAAAGTTGTGGTACATTTACACAATGGAATACGACTCAGCAATTAAAAACAAGAAAATCATGAAATTTTCAGGCAAATGGATAGAACTAGAGATCATCCTGAGTGAGGTAACACAGACCCAGAAGACATATACAGTATGTGTTCACTTATAAGTGGGTATTATCCATATAGTACAGGATAACCATGCTATAATCCACAGACCCAAAGAAGCTAAGTAACAAAAGAAGATGAATAAATCTCACTCAGAAGGGGAAATAGAATAGACATTTGAAGTAGATGAAAGAGGGAGGACTGGGAGAGAGAACAGAAATCCTTGGAGGGACATTTCTGGGATGGACATGACTTTATCTGAGACTTCTAGAAGTGGGGGTATGGAGCCAGAAGTGGCCATCTCCAGTAGCCAAGTGAGACTTCCAGTAGAGGGAGGGAAGCCCCAACCCAACAAAACCATTGACCCAAATTTTTTCCTGCCTCCAAGAAGTGTAAAGATAAAGATGGAGCAGAGATTGAGCTTATGGCCAACCAATGGCTTCCCCAACTGGAGACCCATTCCATGGGAAAGAGCCAACACCTGACACTATTAGTGACACTCTGCTATGCTTACAGACAGAAGCCTAGCATAGCTGTCTTCGGAGAGACTTCACCCACCAGCTGATGGAAACAGATACAAAGACCCACAGTCAAACGATAGGCCCAGCTCTGGGAATCTTGTGAAAGAGTGGGAGGAAGGATTGAGAGAGCCTGGATGGGTCAAGGACACCAAAAGAAGACCTACTGAGTAAACCAACCTGGGCCCATAGGGGATCACAGAGATTGAACCACCAACCAAAGAGCATGCATGGCCTGGACCTAGCCCCCTACACATATGGAGCAGATATGTAGCTTGTTCTTCATGTGAGTCCCCTAACAGTTGGAGCAGGGGCTGTCTCTGACTCTGTGGTCTGCCTTTGGATCACTTGCCTTTGGCTGCCTTGTCTAGCCTTAGTGGGAGATAATGCACTTAATCCTAGTGTGAGTTGATGTGCCAGGCTAAGGCAGGAACAGATCCAAAGTCAGCAGCTTGGGCTGCTTATTATGCTCACTATTACTAACAACAGGTGCAGCCTCTGCCTGCGGCTCCTGCAGTTGCACCAACTACAATGCACACTAATGGACAAGGTAACAATGGTCAACAAGAGCAGACACAAGATTATTCATAGGCTTGGGAGAAATATTACAGGAGGCAAGATCAAGAAGCGCCTGTTCCTACTGGGGCCCCAGTAGGTGGTCAACCAGATTATAGTGCAGCCTCAGCTGAAAACTATAGACAGCAAGCAGCATACTACACCTAGACAAGCTCCCAGGGAATGCTACAAGCACCTCAGGTCTCCTGTCGTCTGGTTCCCAAAACTTTTTGAAAAATTCATACTTCAGAAATATATGTATACTCATTTATTTAAAAAAGAAACAATCAAAAGAGTAGCATTTCCATCAACTGCTAACTACTATATATGATGCTGGTGCTGCTTCACTGCCATAAAAAGAACTTTTAGACAAAGAAGCAGATTTTCACCTAGGATTGGAGGAAAAGGCATTCCATGAAGAAAAAGCCAGTTGGTTAAAGCAACACTTTTTAAATAGGACTGCTTTTGAGCTCTATAACTGAGAAGATGTGAGGCTTTGGAGTACCTTCTGGAGAAGCTCTGACTTGGACAACCTTGGGGCAGTTCCTTAGCCACAGTAAAGGGTGCCTCATAGTGTATCCAGAAGTTCTCCAGTTTGCACAATGGATGTGACTAAACCTCCTCCTGCTTTACCTTCTACTTTACACTTTATCCATATATGATCCTATCTATCTGAACAAAGCTGAATATATCAAACATAATTCTTGAAGAGAGTAAACAAAGTCAGGATGGAAGAAAAGGTTCAAAAATCAGAAGTGGGGCATTTATCTTTTCATTTCTTTGCAGGTTATTTTTTTTTTTTACATTAAAATCTCTTTCCTCTAACCATAGTTTATGGCCTTTTCTGTTTCTTCCTGCCTTCTGTTCCCTAGATAATAGCAACATCGACGTTATCTCAAACCCTGTGGTAGATACACTTCAGTCCTTATCAGTTACCTTCCAGGCAGTGGGCTCACACAGTACCCTCAAAAGTCAAGTGAGTGTGGCAGTGGTATGTATCAGCAGCAGTTTCTCAGTACCACCTGTCCTCATTTTAATTAAAAAAAGAACAGAACTTGATTTGCCTTTGGTTTTAAACATTTCAGTCACTTTTTTATAGAGATTTCCAGAGAAGGAACTAGATTTCTTTTCCCCATATTGAAATACTTTTGGAAACAACTACCCTCCCCCCTCCTTTTGCAATGCTGGGGATAGAAGCCAGGGTCTTGTATGCTGTAAGCAAGCACTCTAGCACTCTCCCACTGAGCTAATGCCCCAGCCTATGGACACGCTTCCTAATCTTCAGTCTAGGAGCAACACAAATAATCAGGATTGTGACAGGAGGATGCAGTTGTGTCTTCAGAGCCAGAGGCTCCATTGTCTGGTGTAACACCAGCGGCTGGCACCACTGGGATTCTGATTTCAGTTTCTTTTCTTCGCTGTCTTTTGTCATCCCAACTTGATGTTTCTTGAGCCAGCTAGACTGGTACTACAACATAGAGATGAAGCCCCTTATCTGCCCCACTATGTTCAGATGCTGCAGGAGGATGAAGTGAGAGACCATTAAAGCATGCTATTATTTTGTTTAACTCTGAAACAGCGTACTACTATGTGAAAAAGTGGAAATATGTCTGCATTTGTCTTAGAAACACTTTAGCTTCACCATCTGAGTCTTGAGTTAAGTTTTGAGTGGTAAGATAGTTTCAGGCCCCAGTGAAACAGAAGTATTAGTTTAACCCAGTCAATGCCACACCTCAAACACAATGGCCATTTGGCCATCCTCAGCCTCATGAAAGCCTCCCTGATTCCTCAGTATTTAGAAAGGTGTCATGCATTTTCCTGCAGTGGAAACACAAGGGGGGTTCCCCGGCTGGAAACCTTCTGGTCTCCCATTACCAGGTCTCGCTCAAGCACTTCCTCAGAACTGTTCTTTGTTTTCCGACCACCCTCAAGACTTGTGGAAGCTGTGTAGGAGCTTGAGGAGCCATTTGCAGTCACAGTGCTGTCTCCATTGGTCAAGGTAAGGTCACCCTCCGTCAAGATGAAATCAGAGTCATCTTCTCTCAGTGGCTCTTGGTTCTGAAAGGCACAACCAAAAAAAAAGGGGAAACCTGAAATCTTCCATGGCTGGAGCTAACCTAACCCCAAATTCCCATATCTGAAAATTAATTTGGGAGGGCTGAAGAAATTATGCAGCAGTTAAGAACATTTGCTGCTCTTGCAGAGGACCCAGGTTCCGTTCCTGGCACCCAAATTAAGCAATTCACAGCTAACTGCCTGTGATTCCAGTTCTAGGGGGATCCAAAACCCTCTTCTGGCCTCTGTGGGATCCTGCACACATTTGGTGCACACACACACATATTCAGGCACACAAATACACATATACATACAGGGTATATTTGAGACATAAATGAGTTAGGGTTAAAGTGGCAATAATGGAGAATGAACACATCAGAGCTCTCCCCTAGGAGGATGAGGCAGAGCTCACATTTCATGGCAGCACTGGATCTCAGATGCAGGGACTTGGTAGCTGTAACTCTTGTTCTCAAAGGAGTAAGAAACTGCTACTTTCATCTTGGGTCTTGAGGTACAGTTGCCCTTATCTGCTATCCCAACTATGCTAGATACAGCATACATACCCCTTTCTGTGAATGTGTGCTACCTTTCTTGACCTCTTTGCCCTGTTTTAACTTCTTGAGGGCCCTTCTCCCTCAGACCTTGGATGGCCTTCTTTCTCATCATTGGTCAAATCAACTGCAGATTATTGGCTAATTATTTGGAGGCCCATCTTAAGAGTCTCAGTTTTGTCCACAACAAACCACGGGGACATGCACAGCCTGCATTATTCCTGAGATTATACTCTCCTTGTCTACCTTGCTGCCGCATTTGCTCCTTCACAATGTGCTGAGAATGAAACAAGCCTTTGGCAGCTCTGTGGCTGAACACAAATCTAAAAAGCTCTTTGATTTCAGGGTAAGGACTCTACCATCTTGGGATGGTGAAAGAAAGATGGAGGAGGAGGAAGCTCTGTCTTCCTTTCTATTACTTAGGCATAGAGAGTGACTTGCTGTCTTTACCTATCTGCCCTGCAACCCAGGAGCTCAAGTTCAGCCCTAACTCTTAAGAAATCCACAGCAGGGGATTCTTTTCCTAACTGTGATGACTCCATTTCTGGCACCAGAAAATGATAAAAAAGGACCTAACCAAACCAACATAAATAAACTACTTGCAAAAGAATCCTTAACTTGGTGTGCTGCTTTTGTAGTTTGTGGTATATCTTGATAAACCTTATTTAATGGTCATGCCAGCTGGCACTAGTAGGCCCATAGTACAAATAAGAAAACAGGTGTAGAGTACTTCAGTAGGCCTTAAGGGCTTGAATTACAGTCTGGTCACTTGGATTCCCAGCTGCCCACACTGTTAAAGGTTTCCCCTTTACTGTGCCAAACAAATGAACATGGGAACACATGTGTGCACGTGCGCACACACACACACACACACACATACACACACACACAAACACACACACACACACACACAAACACACACACATCATTTCTGATCATCTTATTAGGTAAGCAAGATCAGTGGATCTGGACTTTGGAGTGTGGCATTTCTTCCTAAGGAAGAGACTACCATTGAACAGGAACACAGTACCTATAGTCTGTACTTACATCATACACCTGGGGACTGGTCAGACATCGAGCTAGCAAGCCACACCAGGCTGGGAGAGTGGTGGTTAGTGGGGGACCACTGTGGGTGAGAATAGGTTTTAGGTAACTTTAAAAGGGGAATTAAGGAAAATATGCTGCAATGAAAATAATACACAAAACAGAATGCCCAAAGAATAATAAATTGTCTGACATTCTACCCACAAAGCCTCCCACTCCCATTTTCTCAGTACAACACAAGCAAGCCTTACAATCATAGGGACAATCATACTACAATCATAGTAGATGAAAATATACCTCAGTGGTGTCTAAGTGCACATGTACTTGAAGTAAATCTGGGCAACACTGAGTTTGTCTCAAATAATGTTAACTTCCAAACAAACAATCCAAACCAAGGAAGCAAGCAAACAACCAAAAAGAACATTGAGCTGCCTTTAGTCTCAGCACCTGGAAGGCAGAGGCAGGAGGATCTCTGTGAGTTCCAGGCCAGCCTGGTCTACAGAGCAAGTCCAGGATAGCCGTGGCTGCACTGAGAAACCCAGTTTCAGAAAACAAATCAAAACAACAACAAAGAACACTGGATTTATTAAGAGTACATTCCTTACTAACTGGGTTCCTCCAAGGAGGAGACACTAAGGTATACTTTTAGTTGTGAATTATCGAACTCTTTTAAATAATGGATTAACTTTTTGTTAAAAGATGGAAGCAAAGGCTCGGCTTGGTCTCTTTGCAGACACAACAGGCTGCTGTGTGATTGCTGGCTTTAAGAGCAGGCTTGGGGATGGATATGGGCCCCCATAGGGCAGTCATTTCTCCCCTGTCTTAACCTAGGAAAGCAGCAAGATCTTCTGTCTCTACCATGTCAAGGATCAAGTCAGAGCTGCCTTACTGTTCCCAGCCTCAGTCACTGAAAAGACAAGCCTTTTTGACTGAAGTTGAGAAGGCCTAGGACAATTTCCTTTAAAAATATGTACATGAATATGTATACAGTTTCTTAAAATGTACTCATTTTAAGTTACTATAAAAGATGATGTGTTTAATTGGGGCATTTTCAAGCATGTATGTCATTTTACTTTGTTCTTATTTGTCCTACTCTTGCTGGCTCCCTACCTCCCCTAAACAGTCTCTGTTTCTGCTTTCATGTCACATGTATTTTATTATTCTCTATTTAAAAAATCATCTCATTACTTTTGAAAAACTACTTTAATTATAATTTCATTATAAAAAACTCATAAATAAAAAAATCACATATCCGGGCATTGGTGGCACACACATTTAATCCCAGTACTTGGGAGGCAGAGGAGGCATATCTCTGAGTTTGAGGCCAGCCTGGTCTATAGAGCGAGTTCCAGAATAAGTCTATACAAAGAAACCCTGTCCTCAAAAGAAAAGAAAAGAAATCACATACCAAAATAAACCAGATCCAAATTCTATGCATCAGAATGAACTTCTGTACAGTTATTAAAATGAGACAGGTCTTATGAAGTCTAAGCTGTCCTTGAACTCCCAATTCTCTTTCCATAGGCATGCACAACCATACTCAGCCATAAATCTTTTACATTTCCAAAAATTTTCTTATTTCTTCTTGAGCTGTTTTTTTTTTTTTAAATAACTTGCCCTTATTTTATGACTAGAAAAAAAATCTCTCATTTCTTTCTAAAAATTCTATCAGAAAATGTATTGGGTGTTTCTTATTTTTTTTTTCTTCTTCTGAGAAAAGGTCTCACACCCTGAAACCCAGGCTCATCTGTAACTCATTATGTAGGCTGTACTAGACTGTAACTTATGGCAATCCTTCTGCCTCAGCCACCCAAGTGCTGAAATTATGGGTTTACATAATCATCATGCTTAGCTAAAGGCTTTTAACAGTAAACATCTGCAACTGCTTAATTATTTCCGCAGCCCTACTCCCTCGTGTAGGGATGCACTGAGAAAGCCAGTTTCGAAAAACAAATCAAAAGAACAACAAAAAAGAACACTGGATTTATTTAGTCAGTCTCTTAGTTCATCAGGCAGAATGGAGACTCCCATTATGATATTAAAAAACAAAAACAGGGAAGGTAGCTCTAGGGAAGAAACGTCTTTGGTATCTGTTTCTCTACTAACACCCCTCCCTGTCAAGGGCTTCTACATTCTCCAGATGTCTAAGGACTGAGTTAAAACTAACAGCTACTAGTTAATCTGTTGACAAGAAGGAAGTGCTGCAGCTGTTCCCAACAACAGTCTTGAGTAATCAGTTAAGCAAACTGGTTAAGAGTCACTTCTGTCTTTGATTGTCTCTTGTAATTCCTTTTATCTTTCTTTGGCTTTCCAAGCAACCAAAAATAGCTCTTTTGTGATTTCTATGAGGCCTAGTTAAAGAAGAGAGATTATGTGGACACTGAACCTTTCACCTTAAACTGGAAGTCTGTCTCATTTTAAAGCTTGTGGGCAAGGAGACTCTGTAGACCTGCAGGAGTAATTCATGCCCTATCCAATTCTCTCTCTCTCTCTCTCTCTCTCTCTCTCTCTCTTTCTCTCTCTCTCTTTCTCTGAGATGTATTCTCATGTTGCCTAGATTGGTCTCTGTGATGATTTGAATGACAGTGACACAATAGGCTCATATATTTGAATATTTGGCCCCCAGTTAGCAGAAATATTTGAGAAAGAAGAGGGGGCGTGGTCTTCTTAAAGGAGGTATGTCACTGGAGATGGGCTTTGAGGTTTCAAAAGCTCATGCCATTCCCTGTTAGCTTTCTCTCTGTCTCATGCTTGTGGATCAGATATAAGCTCTCAGCTACTGCTTCAGCACCAGGCCTGCCTGCCTTCCTGCCTGATGCCATGTTCCCACCACAATGGTCATGAGCTCTAACTCTAACCCTCTGAAACCCCTAATAAACTCTTCCTTCTGATAAGTTGCCTTGGTCATGGTGTTTTATTGCAGCAATAGAAAAGTACTAAGACAGTCTCCAACTCACTATAAAATCCAGGAAGTTGCTATGAAGCTTAGCCTGAATTCATGTTTCTTCTGCTTAAGGGTTGTGGTTACAGATGGGAACTACCATATCATGCCTGCCAAAATTCTCTTCTCATAATAAGAAAACTCTTTTTTTTTTTTCTGGATTTGTAATGATGAGGAGGTAGGATGAATCATGGGTAACTTCCTCATTTAATTCTTTAGACAGTGCCTGCTTTAGTTTCTGTTCCCTGAATTCAAAAGTGGGAACCCCAAATTCTCTAAATTTAGATTCAGATGGGACTTTAGAGCTTACATCTGTTTTTTTTTTTTTTCAAAGAATCAAGTATCACTACCATTTGCCCTTCTGCAGATGCTCTTCAATGTTCTCTGTCCTCTCCAACCCCAAGGAACAACATGCTTTGTGGATTACCATTTAGATGAAGTGCACATGACTTTAAAGAAATTCTTGGAATTTCTATTTCAGTCAGTAACCAATATGCCAATTTGTACTAGCCTTTCTATTAAGGACAACTAGAAAACCTAGACAACAGAAAATGAAACAAGGCAAAGCCCTCTCCTTGATGTTTTCAGAAGATGACTAAGGCAGTGAGGAGAGTTGAAGTCTGGGAAGAGAACAGCAAATATGTGTGCTTGACATGTGGTGAGCCCCAGTTCCCCTCAAGCCACTCGAGTAGCTGAGCAGAACAACTAGCAAAGGCACATGAAACAGACTGAGACTGATGGAAACTGTAGGAAAAAGATGTGAACAATACATATTTCAGATATATGCCTAAGAGTGGATCTTGAGGTAGCACTAGTCCTGATTTTTTGAGAAAGCACCAGATTGATTTCCAAAGTGGTTGTTCAAGTTTGCATTCCCACTAGAAATGGAGGAGGGCTCCCCTTTCTCCAGCATATGTTGTCAATTGAGTTTTTGATCTTAGCTATTCTGATGGGTGTAAGGTGAAGCTAAACAAGGAGGACCCTAGGGAAGTTGCTCAATTCTCAGTCAGAAGGGCAAACGAGATAGACATCGAAGTGGGAGAACACAGGAAACAGGACAGGAGCCCACCACAGAGGGCCTCTGAGCCTCTGAAAGACTCTGTCCAGCAGGGTATTGAAGCAGATACTGAAACTCATAGCCAAACTTTGGGCAGAGTGCAGGGAATCTCATGGAAGAAGGGGGAGGTAGAAAGACCTGGAGGGGACAGGAACTCCACAAGGAGACCAATAGAGCCAAAAAACCTGGGCCCAGAGGTACTGCAGAGACCGATACTTCAACCTAAGACCATGCATGGAGAGGACCTAGACCTCCTGTTCAGATGTAGCCCATAGGCAGCTCAGTCACCAAGTGGGTCCCTAGTAAAGGGAGCAGGGGCTGTCTCTGACATGAATTCTTTGATCATTTCCGCCTGAGGAAAGGGATGATGCAGCCTTGCCAGGCCACAGAGGAAGATGATGCAGCCAGCCTTAATGAGACCTGATAGGATAGGGTCAGACAGAAGGGGAGAAGGACTTCCCCTATCAGTGGACTAAGGATGGGGCATATAGAGAGAAGAGAGAGAAGGAGGGTGGAACTGGGAGAAGATGAGGGAGGGGGCTACAGCTGGGATACAAAGTGAATAAATTGTGATAAATAATAAATAAATAAAACAGAGCAGTAAAAAAAAAAAAAAAAGATGTGAACAATGCAAGCTTTAAGTAGGAACCCTAGATGAAAAGGCAAAGAGAAAACAAACTAGCCCTCACAGAAATTGAACCTGGCTTCAAATCTCCTTTCTTGCTGATTGGGTTAAGGTGATCGTAAATTGCTATTGCTTAGGTCTAGAACAGTCCTAAATTTAAATCCTTAAATCTTCTCTGAAGGATGACATCATCCAGAGCATCTCAAACTATCTCTAGAGTTGTTCTTGCTCATGTTTGTCACTCAGCAAAAACAAAACAAACAAACAAGAAAATCCTCATACACACAGAAGATAAAGAATCTAGCTTCTAAAGATAATTTAGAAAACTAGCTTTATGACTTTGAGACAGGCAGTGATTTTTGAAGCAGGACACAAAAGACACTAGGGTCAATCAGTCAGATGAAGAGTTTCTGTCCCTCAAAAGATTTAATTTGGGAAGTGAATAGACAATGTATAAAGTGGGAAAAATATTTTGTCATATATAACCAGCAAAAGGTACATATTCATATACATAAAAACTCTTACCAATCAGTAATAAAAATGCAGATAGCCCAAAATGACAAATAGGCAAGGAATGTAAACAAGCATTTCATAAAGAATCATAGTCAATGGCCAGTAAATATGTAAAGAGAGTCCTCAATCCTGTGAATTGTCACAGAAATATAAATTAAGGCCACAATAAAATATAAAGTAAAAGTCAAAAGACTAACAATAACAACTGTTGGTAAATATATGGAGTAACTGGAACTTTCAGACACTAGGAATGTGTGAAATAGTATCACCACCTTGGAAAACTGTCTTCTAACATTAAAACTACACATGTCTTAGGCCTCAGGAATTTTCCTCCTAGGTATAGTCTCACTGAAAACATACACACAGTACATCAAGGACATGTATGTATAAGAACGTTCACAGATGTTTTCTTCAAGTGGAAAAAAATCCAATGTTCATCAATAATGGAATAATAAATTGTGGAATAGACAATTAAATACTATGTAGCAATAAGAACAAGTGAACTAGAGCTAAACATAATGGATAAATCATATAAATAAGCCAGACTCAAAATAGGTATTTACTGTTTAACCTCATATATATGTGTATATACATATATATTATTTTCAGTTATATATATACATTTATAATACGTGTTTGTATACTTATGTTCTATTTAACTGAAAAAATATAATAATTAAATGTTACTAAGGGTAAAATCCTGAAAAAAGTAATTGTGGTTACACTTGGGGTGGAAGACTAATATTGCTTTATGCCAGTTTTTGTTTGTTTGTTTCTTGGCTAGTTTAGTGTTAAATGAGTGTGGTTATTTTGAGACAGGGTCTTCTATAGCTCAGGCTGGCTTTGAACTCATTATGTAGTACAGGTTAGGTTTTATCTTCCAGCCCTCCTACCACCACCTTTTGAGTTCTGGGATTACAGTCATATGCTTCTATGGTTGGCTCTTAGTGTGTGTCTTGACTGAGAGCATTTATAATTTGGCTATGTATTTCTTCATGTTTTATACTTTGGAAAAAGATTGCTTTAATGAACTATCTATCCATTTGATCACTATATCAATTCAAAATATCATGAAGGTTTAACTATTTTGTTTTAAATTTCATTTGACAAGAATAGGGTGTGCCCTGCATGTGGCCTTATTTTACCAGTATAATGTTAGATATATTGGACAACTTTAACTGATAAGAACTATCTTCACCACAAGGATGGCCCAAGACACCCTTCCCTTCATGACTGTATAATTTTACTAGTTTACCTACAAAGGCATCATTCCTTGAACACAAAACTTTTGAGCACCACATGAGTCTGCCAGGCTATGAGTTAGCTGCTCCACTGAAATGTTCACATTCCTCTTGGCTAGAGAGATGCTCACCATGACCACCTATGGTTAAAAGATCAATGCATTTGTCCCAAGAGAAGACTCAGTATGCCTGCCCCCCCCCAACTTTCCTTATTCATCAGGAGTGCCACCCACTGACAATCAACAAGTGAATGTTGTCACCAATGCCTCTGGAGCCCAGGGGAAAGCAAAAGGATACTTGTGATCAAAGCTGTACCACAGCCTGAATATCCATGCACTCTCCTGCTTTGTCCGGCTTCCTCCAACAGAATCCAGGCCATCCTAAAACAAACCAGAGAGCACTGATTAAGGAAAGGGGCAATGAGAGAAGAAAAAATTCCAGGCTAGTTTTATAATTGTAACTGCTGTGCTTTGCAATGCTTAAGCTTGAACCCAGAGACTTATACAAGCTAGGCAATTGTTCTCAATATGGGCTCATACAACTAAATCAACTACAATTTTCCCAGAGTTAGAGCTCACAATGGAGTACCACATACTACCACAGCTTCAAAGAAGCAGCTCTGTGGTAATAGCATGCAGAGGGCCTTGAGTTCAGTGGCCAGAACCACACATGCAGATATATATTGAGGGGTAATATTCCAGCAGAAATCAAGCAAACACAAAAGGAAGCAAATCAACTCCCTCCTCATGTTTGTAGGTAGATGGAGACAATATTTGCATAAAATCTCTTTTGGCATTTTTAAATTCCCCTCCAAGGAGAATTCCTCTATTATGAATTCTCTGTTTAGCTATGTAGCCCCTCCAAGTACCTTTCAGGTGTTAGTTACCCTACAGTGGTCTAGATCCTTGCAGGACAAAATTGGCATGGCCAATTAGTAAAGGAAAGCCTCTGCCTCCCTCGAGTTTTGGGATTAAAGCTAATGCTGGAATTCTTTATTGCTAGATGACAGACTCTCCAAGTACAAACAGTTGTAAAGCACACCTATTTTTTTTATCACTATACTTTTGAAAGCTACAGAGGGAGGCAAGTCTGCAAGTAAGGAACAATCAGTAATATACACTAAAATTTGAACCAAAACTACATACAAGTGATGCTGAATCACAGTGACTGGAATTCTAGAGCAGTAACAAAGTTAGTCAGGGATATTTGAGAAGATAAGCATGTAGGACAGCCTTCTACATGACACGAGAAAACACTATTTAAGTTCCATACTCAAAGATAATTTAAAAAATAGTTGCCATGGTATACTGAGGAATGCTTATTGATGGATGTGGTAATAGCCTAGCTAAACACATCCTTCTATGGATAAGAACTATATATGAGAGAAAAACGACAAAAACCAATTTTATTTCATAGTTTATAAAAACAGGTGGGAGAAAAAGGACAGAAAATGTCTCCATTTGCTGATACCAATTGTTCCTCTTAGTAACTGTTAACTAATGGCAATGCTAGAAAGATTTTCAAATGTTATATGACTGAGTAAAAAAGTGGTAGATAGACTTTCTGACAGGCATAACCCTTTGTAAGAAAAAACTAAGTGTTTCTTTGTAAGTTTTTTTTTTACTTTTTTAAACTTTTATTAGTTACACTTTATTCACTTTGCATCCCCCCATAAACCCCTCCTTCCTCCCCTCCCAATCCCACCGTCCCTCCCCCTTCTTCACGCATGCCCCTCCCCAAGTCCACTGATAGGGGAGGTCCTCCTCTCCTTCCTTCTGATCTTAGTCTGTCAGATCACATCAGGAGTGGCTGCATTGTCATCTTCTGTGGCCTAGTAAGGCTGCTCCCCCCTCAGGGGAAGGTGATCAAAGAGCAGGCCAATCAGATTATGTCAGAGGCAGTCCCTCTTCCCATTACTAAAAGGTTTATCTCTCTTTCTCTCCCTTCCTCAGATTCCCTTCCTATCTCTGCTTCTGTCTCCCTCTATCTATCTCTCTCTCCTTCTGTCTTTCCCCTGCTGTCTCTCTCTCCCTCTGTCTCTCTGTTCTCTCTCTCTCTCTCTCTCTCTCTCTCTCTCTCTCTGTGTGTGTGTGTGTGTGCTGGTACCCATGGATCCTCTGTAGCTAAAAGAGTTACAGACGACTATGAGCCATGCTGTAAAGGTGCCCAGAACTAAAGAAAAAAAAAAAAAAAAACAACTGGGAAAATGATAAACATCAACAAGGACACTATAAACTAGGGATTCTTAAACTTTTTTCTTTTCATGTCCTCCTTTTCGCCTAAAAATATTTACATGACTCTAGGTACATATAAAAAAAAATCAAACATATACTGATAATAAGTCATAGGGACTTATGTTAAAACAGAGTATTTGATACTATAGGACACAAACCATCTTCAACATTCTTCAGATCAACATTTTAATTGTTAATGTAGGGAATGCTGTTTTACATAAACATATAGCAAAAATATATAAAAAGTATGTTAAGGTCCTTCTCAGAAATTGTTAGAAATTCTACCAAGCAGATCAAAGATCTCAACATAAAACCAGACACACTAAACCTGTTAGAAGAAAAAGTGGGGAAGAGGCTTGACCTCATTGGCACAGGGGACAACTTCCTGAACAGAACACCAACAGCACAGGCTCTAAGATCAACAATCAATAAATGGGACCTCATGAAACTGAAAAGCTTCTGTAAAGCAAAGGACACTGTCGTCAGAACAAAACGACTGCCTACCCATTGGAAAAGGATCTTCCCCAGCCCTTTATCTGACAAAGAGCTGATATCCAGAATATATAAAGAACTCAAGAACTTATATAGCAACAAATCAAGTAATCCAATAAAAAATGGGGAACAGAGCTAAACAGAGAATTCTTTACAGAGGTATATCGTATGACAGAGAAACACTTAAAAAAATGCTCAATGTCATTAGCCATCAGGGAAATGCAAATCAAAAGGATCCTGAAATTTCACCTTACACCCATCAGAATGGCTAAGATCAAAAACTCAAGTGACTAAGGACTCTAGTGACTATTTCATCAGTTGTTACACAGAGGTAATGTAATAAGATATGGTCAATGACTATTTCATATAAGAGTAATTTGGAGATGACATGTGAGCTGAAGAAAATCTTTTGGTCACTTCTACTACTACACTCGTCAGTGGCTTCCTGTTCATAGCACTGAATTACTATCAGGAATATATCATTGATATTGAACTCATAAATACTTTCCAGCACTATAAAATGTTATCGTATTTAGAATTTTTAAAATTTCATTCATTTAGCCTATGGCATGTGAATTTCCAGGATGTATGTACAATCTTCTAATTTCTAATTGATTTTGAGAGCCATTATTTGTTTTTCTTTTTAAGAAGAGTCTTGTTTAGTATCCCAGTATAGACTGGAATGAATGATCTTCTTGTCTATGTATTTTGACTACTAGGAGTATAAGTATTCATTATCATTTCTGGCCTGGCTTCTGATTTGAAACAATCTAATTACATAGGTGTATTAAATAAAAAGTCACATTACTCAGGAAAAAAAAGACTCAAGTGACAACACATTGCTGGTGGGAATGTAAACTTGTACAATAACTTTAGAAATTAATCTGGTGCTGTCTCAGACAACTAGGAATACTGCTACCTCAAGATCCGGCTATACCACTCCTAGGCATATATCCAAAACATGCTCAAGTACACAACAAGAACATTTGCTCAACCATGTTCATAGCAGCTTTATTTGTAATAACCTGAAGCTGGAAACAACCCAGATGTCCCTCAAATGAGAAATTGTGGTATATTTATACAATGGAATACTACTCAGCAATTAAAAAGAAGGAAATCATGAAATTTGCAGACAAATGGTAGGAAATAGAAAAGATCATCCTGAGTAAGGTATCCCAGAAGCAGAAAGACATACATGGTATATACTCCTTTTAAGTAGATATTAGACATATAATATAGGTTAATCATACTGAAATCTGTGCACCTTAAAGAAGCTAAGCAAAAAGGAGGACCCTGTGTAAGATGCTCAATCCTCATTCAAAAAGGCAAATGGGATAGATATTGGAAGGGGGTGAAAGAAGGAACAAGACAGGAGCCTATCACAGAGGACCTCTGAAAGACTCTACCCAGCATGGTATTAAAGCAGATGCTGAGACTCATAGCCAAACGTTGGGCAGAGTGCAGGGAATCAAATGAAAGAAGAGGGAGCTACAAAGACCTGGAGGGGACTGGAGCTCAACAAGGAGAGCAACAGAACCAAAAAATCTGGTCCCAGGGGTCTTTTCTAAGACTGATACTCCAACCAAGGATCATGCATGGAGATAACCTAGAACCCCTGCACAGATGTAGCCCATGGCAGTTCAGTCTCCAAGTGGGCCCCCTAGGAGAAGGGGCTGTCTCTGACATAAACTCAGTGGCTAGCTCTTTGAGCACCTCCCCCTGAGTGGGAAGCAGCCTTGCCAGGCCACAGAGGAAGACAGTGCAGACAGTCCCGATGAGACCTGATAGGCTAGGGTCAGATAGAAGGGAAGGAGGACCTCCCCTATCGGTAGACTGGGCAAGGGGCATGGGTGGAGAAGAGGGAGTGAGGGCGCGATTGGGAGGGGCTCAGGGAGGGGGCTTCAACTGGGATACAAAGTGAATAAATTGTAATAATAAAAAATATAAAAGCCCCACTATCTCAAGCCAAAAAAAAAAAGAGGATCATTTTTGTTGTTTATATTAAGTAGGGTTCATCCATACCTGAGTGTATGTTATCAAGGTCCCTTTTAGAATCTAAGAATTGGTTGCCAAAGGAACCAATTATATGATTAAAAAATAACGTTTACTTCTAAACCCAACCTTTATGAAGGGAAAAGGGATTGGAGATTTAGTCAGTCAATGACAGCCAATGATTTAATCAACCATCTTTCTGTAATGTAACCTCAAACAAACAGAAAACCCTTAAGTGATGGGGTCTAGAGAGCTTTGTGGGCTGATGAAGTTATAGAGAGTGGTATACCAAGCAAAGGACATGGCACCTCCTCCCTACTTGTCTTATTTATCTAGTTATTCATTTAGTTATTCATAAATATATGGTTTAGTAATAGTGAGCAGAGTGCTGTCCTGACCTCTGTGAGCCATTGTAGCAAATCAGAGAACCTGAGGAAGAAGTTGTGGGAGCTCTTAGTATATTGCCTTGCTATGACTAGCTTTAAAAATGGAAGAGAGGCATGGGCCAGGAAATGTGACTAGCTTCTAAGAGCTAAGCATGAATCCCAGAAAACAAACAAAAAGGACACCACACCTTAGTTCCATAGAGGCAAAATAGGATGAAGAATAGGATTCAGAAGGCCTTACATAAAACATTACAAATTAACGAACAAACTTAAGAT